GAATGGTGCTTTTTATCTTTTGGGCCATCAACAATCCCTTGGAAGATCTGAGGGATGCTATAAAGATATAAACCCGGGGGGAGGAGGGGGATCTAGCAGATAACTTAAAAGCCTTAAAGTTTTATGTAAATCCAAAGAAATTAGTTGCCCCTCTGCCCCTCAAGATACATGGGGGCGGAGGAAGGACCTCTGTGCTCCTCTAAGTTAGGCGTTACTGGCCCTTTTGTCTACACTTTCTGGGAATCCAGACCAAGAACCTTCTTTGGAGAGAATATCAAGAGATTATCTAGTTGTTCCTTCAGTATCTTCTGGTGGTACTTATACTTTTGCTCACTACAGTTCTCTGCTTTTAAGTTTAGGTATGTACAGAAAAGTTAATTGGGGTCAGCATGTTACTTTTTAAAAGGAGGTAAAAAAAAAAACAACACTTCAAGCATTCTGTACCATTCTAGACAGATTATGTTGTGTGGTAAATGGGGTTGCGTGGTTGCCTTAGTTATTTTCTCGTGTTAGAATCAAAACTGGAGGAAATCTGGAAGGTAAAATTCTAGATAAAGTTTTTTTGGGTGTGGAGCATGCAGGTGAAGACAAACAGCCAACCTTTGGTTGGTTTTTATCTGTGTCAGCATTTTACTTTGACTCTAATTATGTAAATTATTGGTCTAATGTAAACCAGTGCCAGTTAATAGTTTACTTAGTAAATTATTCTCTGGGGTACTTTCAAAGGAATAACGCCTGTTTTCTAATGCTATATAAATGTGGTCAATAAGCTAAATATGTGTCTCTAAATATCTGTTCAGAGCTTATTACTGTCAAGCCTCTGATCAGATGTCACTAAGTCAAAGAGGCCTTTCCTGATCGCTCTATAGATTACACACCACCCCCCCATCTTCTACACTCTTCTTTCCCTTAATCTTTCTCCATGAAACTTAGGTCACCTGCCATAAATTGCATATGTTGCTCCTCACTTTTTCTCCCTTTCTCTCCACCAGAAAGTCAGCTCCTCCACTGAAAGTCAGCGCCACTGAAAGTGACAGACTGTCCTGGGTGCAGCGGACAGAACAAAGGTCCTCCTGCATCCAGGACAGTCTGTCACTTTCAGTGGCGCTTTCTGCCACAAGCTGCTTTAGCCAGGTTACCTAGGATACCCAGTTGCTACTTGGTTTTAATATTAAGTTTATTTACTTTATTTCAATACTAGTTTTAATATTTATATTATTAATTTATTTTAATATTAATTTTATATTAGTATAGCTTTGCATACTTCTAAATGGTTTAAGTGAGTGTCAAGATGTATATACATATCTTTCCCTCATCCTCATTAAGTGGTTTTTATTTCTTTGGCATATAGTCATCTTTTCTTACCTGAGGCCTCAAATTTTGCTTCTTTGCCAAAGTCCATATTGGAAATTGAATTCTTAGGTTTGCCCATAATTTGCAAGCAATAATGTTGATAACATTTTAATAAAATAAATACCTTTAATTTTACAACAGAAATATGTATTGAGCACCAGGAAAGATAACACCTGGAAGACAGCTAAGTGGTTACCTGGCAGAGCAGTGCTGCATGTCACTGGCCCTCCAAGTCCAAGGCAGGCCTCCCTGACCTCGTCTGGCTTTGTCAGTCTCTGGACCCACGATGACCTTCAGCAACCCCACTGTCCTGGACTTTGCCTGTTAGGGATTTTAAGGCTGCAGAGGTGGTGGTGGTTATTGAGATGTAATTCGTATCCCATAATTCACCTTAAACTGTAAAATTCAGAGGTTCTAGTATTTTCAGAAGATTGTGCCACAATCACTATTTAATTCCACAACATTTTCATCAAAAAGAAACCCCATACTCATAAGCAGTCCTTCCCTCAGTCCCTTGGCGACCATTAATCTGCTTTCTGTATCCATGGGTCTGTTCTGGATATTTCATGTAAATGCAGTCATGTAATGTTTGGCCTTTTGTGTATGGCTTCTTAACTTAGCATGTTTTCAAGGTTCATTCATGTAGCATGCCTCGAAACTATTCCTTTTACACTGAATAAGTTTCCATTGCATGTATATACCACATTTTATTTACCCATTCATCGACTGATAGACATTTAGGTTGCTTCTACTTTGGGGCTATTAGGAATAAACTTCCATGAACTTTACAAATTTTTGTGTGAGCATATGTTTCATTTCTCTCAGTGTTAAACCTAGGAGTGAAATTCCTGGGTCATATGGGAATTCTATGGTTAACCTTTTGAGAAATCACCACTGTTTTTGAAAGTGGCTGCTCACTTTTACATCCTGCCAGCAGTGTCTGAGGGTGCCAGCTTCTCCACATCCTCACCAACACTTGTTATTCTGTGTTTTATTATAATCCTTGTTAGTGGGGGTGAAGTATCTATTTCATTGTGGTTTTGATTTGCCTTTCCCTGCTGGCCAGTGATGCTGAGCACATTTTCATGTGCTTATTGGCCATTTGTAGATCTTTGGGGAAATATCTGTTCAGATCCTTTCCCTATTTTCAATTAGGTTGTCTTTTAATTATTGTGTTATATGAGCTTTTTACATATTTCAGGTACAAATCTGTCAGATTTGCAAACTTTTTTCCATTCTATAAGTTGTCTTTTTATTATCTTGGTGGTATCTTTTGAAGCACAAAAGTTTTTAGTTTTGATGAAGTCCAATTAATCTATCTTTTTTTTTTTTTTTTTTTGGTGACTTGTGCTTTAGCTATCATATCTAAGAGACTACTGCCTAATCCTGCATCATGAAGATTTACACCTACTATTTTCTTCAAAGAGTTTTATAGTTTTAGCTCTTACTATTATCTTTGACCCATTTTGAGTTAATTTTTATATATGGCATAGGTAGAGATTTATTTTCATTCTTATGTATCTGTCTCAGAACGATTTGTTGAAAAGACTATTCTTTCTCTCACTGAATTGTCTTGGCACTCTTATTGAAAATCAACTGACCATAAACCTATGGGTTTAGGTCTTGATGCTCAGTTCTACCTTGTCAAGGTCTGTGTCTCCCTGTGCTAGTACCAGTACCCACACCCCCTTAATTACTGTGGTTTTTATAGTACGCTTTGAAATCAGGCGGTGTGAATCATTGAACTTCGTGCCAAGATAATTTTGAAACTGAGTTTAACTAACTTAGTCGAATATTATTCTTCAGAACAAGCCTAAGCAGGCCCCACACTAACCTGATTGCTAGGAATAGAATGGCGCTGTAGACTTATCCAGCCACGTTCACTTTATTCTTTCTATCATTATTTAGCAGTGACCTTAGGGCGTTTTTATAACAGCGTAACAGTGAGCAATGTTGAAAGTTGGACAATGTAAAGAAAAATCTAGCGTCTAGGAGATAGTTTTGGAAATCATTTCATCCCAAATGGGAGCAGAGATGGTGGGGATAGGACAATTTTAGAGAAATGTTAAAGGTGGGATTTTAGGACTTGTAACGGGTAAGTTATAGTTAGGAAAGAGTAAAGGATTGGAGATACTTCTGTTTCTAGCTTGGTAATGATGCAGTCAGGGGAGAAACTGTGATGGGTTGAGTAAAGATCACAGTCCTAATGTATGTCTTGTATGTTACTCAAATCATCTGTCCTTTCAAGAAGTCCGGCAAGGCTGGAGGAGAGAACAGGGTTGTGAGAAGGTTGACTGTTCTGCTGGTCGTGTTTTCAGATGGGGGAAACTTGTGATCTGGGATAAAAATAGAAGATGTGATGGGTAGTTTAATTATCACATTAGGTCCCAGAAGAAACAGCAAAGCCAGTTTTTCCTCTAAGGCTGTTGGTAAGAGGTAATCTTGCTTGATGGTCTGTATTTTCCCAGGAGCTAAACCTGAGAGGTGGGGTAGGTTAGGGAGCTGTGGAACGGAAGGTAAGAGCAGTGAAGGGCTAGAACAGCCACTGAGAAATGTAGATTAACAAGGAAATGGGAAACAGGAATGAAAGAAACCAGGCAAGATCAATTCAGGAAGCCCAACTGCTAAAATATTGGTTCCTGAAAGAGAAGATGAGATCAGTGAAGTGTTTCTAGGAAAGCTCCCCATAAAGAAGCACAGTCTGAAGTTTCCAGATCGAAAGGTCCCACTTGAGCACCCAACATAATGACATCAACAGGAAGATGTGGATAGTGACGAGTTTCCAGAGGAAGGAAACAAGTCACTGAGAAAACAGATCAGGAATCAGAATGGCTTCAGTCCTCTCAACAGCAACACCAGAAGCAAGACAACTGAGCATCACCTCCCAATTTCTGATAGAAAATTATTTTCAGCCCATAATTCTGTATGCATCCAGATGATCAATCAACTTTGAGGGTAGGAAGAGGATGTTCAGACATCCAGAGCACAAAAATGAGGCACTTGGCCAAGAGAGATGAGCAGAAACCGCAAATGGGAAGGAGCTGCTCTTAGTGCTAATTATGCACAACTGCCGCCCTGTACGTGTTAAATAGACCTTGGAAGTAAAGGAGCCACCATAACGTGAATGTATTTGATGCCACTAACAATCATTTTAAAATTATTAAAATGGCATATCAATTTACAAGTAAAAATATATATATTATGTAAATATATATATGTATTTATATATATAAATGGATGATAGAAACAGCCAGCCCACAATACTCTTGAAGTTGTAAAAGGCTGATAAGGGACCACAGTTTGGGGGCGGCATGGGACGTGGTATACAATCTTTGTACTGTTTCCCCTTGGAAAGTTTTTAAAATGTGGAGTCAGAAAAGCTACGAATGTATCTAAGGTCCTAGGATGAGCACAGGAGCAATGCGGCTGCCGAGGGCTGGACACTGGGATGGCTGAGTTCTTCCCTGGAAGTTTCTAGGCCGTGTGCTTCCTCTTCCACCTGGGACAGTTCTCCCAGATCTTCACAGAACAGCAGCTTTGATGACAGATTAGTGTTTTACCATCTAAGTGTTTTGACCAGTGGCCTAAGAACAAATGTATAATTCAGAAAAATAAATGTTGCCTAAACAAATCTCATTATCTTACAGTGAGAACTTCTTGCCTGAAGACTATAAATACTAACTAGCTTGAAAATGGAAAACCAAGAACCAGCGGATTCTTCTCAAAATACCAAACAGTTTATTATTTCAGAGGAGGTATAAATTGTTTTTCACTTCCTTTCTCCTTCCCCACATAAAACTGAGTTTCAAAGAACTGTATACAGACTATTGGTTGTTTCAAATGATTGTTTTTAATTCTTAAAGACAGTTTTTAAACATTGTTTGCTCCCTTTTTTTAGGACTTGGACATTTTGCTCCTAGTGGGAGCAGTGGTGTAGCCCTATTATGTGTATTAGAGAAATTGAGACTGTTTTTAAAGGGAATTTTGGCTGTTGATATAAAAATTACTATTTTTAGTAAACATTTTCCCGGGTAGAAGAATGAATCATGTGAGTTTTAGGGCTGAGGCATTTTATACTTAGGTGTTTAATTAGCTGTTTATGGTCTCAATATGTGTACGGACAATAAAAACCTAAGTTCTTAGTTGTAGTCTAAATTCCAGAACTAATGTATGTCTTGTATGTTACCCAAAAAGTCTCTTCCTGTAGGAACCATTGCAATGGATACATTTTAAATCCTTCATCTTGAAACTCTGACCTTGACACTTTTCTGCGATTCTTTTTGATTTAAAGATCTTTCCATGTTACCTGTGAATAGATCTGCTGGTAATAATTAGGTTGCTGCTGGTAAGAAGGGAAAGATAGGATAGTCAGCAGCATCTACTGCTTTATGTTCACAGCGACACTTGCTGTGGGTAAGTTAGCCCTGATAACCTAAACTCGGAATGATGCTGGGGTGCCTCACAGATTTGGTAGGAAACTTGCGTAAAATGGTTTCCCCAAAGTCAGCTTTGTTGTGTAGTCACTGAAATGCAGCTGATGATTTTACACACTAAACACACACACACACACACACACTTATGTGACCAGCACCCAGATCAGAGGCCAGAAGATGAGTGGCCCAAACAACCCCTCGCTCCTCTGTGCTCCCTTCCAGTTACCCCTAGTCTTCTCCCCCACCACACCCCGTAGAGCTTTCGACTATCATTTCTTTTCATCTCTCAGTACTACTTCCAAAACTCCAAACAAGCAGGCCCACCCTTCAGGAAAAGTTGTAAGAATCTCACTGAAAACTTGGATGTGAAATATTATAAGGGAATCATGATAACTGGGAAGGCCACATAGAGAAAATGTGAAGGAAAAAAAAAAAAAAACCTAAATGGAAAACAACTCAGTTTGAAAGTTTCCCAACTTATTATCTGATCTTTTAGTTAATTGCAGAAGGAAACTGGGTGAAGCTTGAAAAAGCAACTTACATGGATCCTACTGGTAAAACAAGGTAAACTATTTTCTTTTGTAAAATGTTCAGTATTTGGGTTTTCAGGGTCTCTATTTAGTGTTTGGCATAACTTTGATGGTTTCCTCATTGTAAACTCTCTGTCTTAATTAAAGAATCTAATTTAGCTGTTTTCCCATTGTTAGAATGTTTGGATCACTTACAATCTCTGTATAAAATTATGTTGTAAATTTGTTACGGTAACTAGTCAGAAATCTATTTTAACACCATTCTGCCCAAGTAGATTATGAAACTAAAACTTTTGGGACAAGCCTAATTTAAACTGCAAAAGCAGCAAAACGATTAACAGGTTGCTTCCTTTTAGTTAAACTAATTCTAATCTCTAAATTAGAAGAATTAAAGAGGAAGCATTGCCGGATTTGAGGTAAAAGTTACATGCTTACACCTTGCTCATGGAAATGTATAATGGAAAAAAAAGTTTTGTAAAGCATTTCACAATATGTATCAATTACCATAAAGAAATGGTGGGAGTGGGGATTTGGGGCCAGGTCACCATGAGTTCTGAGACTGTGCTAAGAAAACTATTTGGAATGAGATTTATGCATGAAAAATGTTCATCATAACTTAAAAAGACAAATAAGTTGAAAGCAACCCATTTTTTAAATAGTGAAAAAATTGGTATGGTATATTCATTTGGTAAAATCTATGCGGCCATCTACAAAGCAGATTATGAAGACAACCTAGCATTATGAGAAAAGTTAATAAATTGATAACAAAATAGGAAATTGTATATATGCTTTTTAAACTCTGCCAAATAATGTGTAAGAAAAGGCTGTAAGGAAAACTGTAGCAAAATATTAATGGCAGCTATGTGATTAACCTTTTTCATTTTATTTTCCAGATTTTCTGTTTAGTAATTTTTTTATATTAACTATCAGGGAAAAAATGTGTTAAGATAGATTAAGCATTTACTTAGTAAAATATAAAAAGGAATAAAACAGAATGAGAAAATATGAAAATGTAGCTTTTATTTAAAGTGAGTCTGATGTATAGAACTAAATATGAACTAAGTAGGGGATTCAGAAACGTGGCAAGGCCCAAGCCTTAGGAACACAATATGTTCAAATGTATATTTCTGAAAATGTAGACAGAAATTACAACCCAATCTATGGAGATCTCATTTGGTTCTCCTCCCTAGAAAGTTGTTTAAAACACAAAATAAAACCCTTAACACTAGTTAGTCTTAGGAGCACGTGCTGGTTTTGACCACCATCTCTTCACTCCTATTCCTTCCAGCATCATAATCAGGGACGTGCATCAGAACCATTCGGGGATCATTTTGAAAACATTCACTAGGTCTCAGCCACGGAGAGTCTGCTTCGGTAGTTTGGGAGCAGGTTCGAAGGCCTACCAAACTGCCATGCTTATATGACCTACTTACAGCACGTTCACCTTGTCTTCCTCACAGCCTCCAGAGGGGCCTTACGTGAAGCATTAGCATTTCATACAGAATGTCAAGTTTGGAAGAATGAAGCTCTATACTTTACAGTAGGCTGACTTACCTGATATAAAAGCATGTACATAAAGATAAAATCGCAGCTAGACAATCTTTTGTTCCACCGTCTTATTCATGGAAGAGGATATGGAATTAATTTTAGAAGTGTAAAAATAGGCTGGCATTATGCCTCTTTACTGACATTCAGGACAGAACTGAAGTCACCTCTTGTGGCCCTTCCTACCTCTTGATGAGAGGGAAGAAAGCACGACAGGCTTTCCTGTAACAGACTAAAAAAAATAGGATAACCGGAATCAGAATTCTAAAGCTGAATGAGGCTTGTGCGATAACATATTCTTCCTTCCCCAGTTTACAAAGGAGAAAACAGTCTCAAGGAGGTTGTGGCTCTGGGGTTTCCTAGTAGGCAAGTGGAGACTGAGATCTTCTGACTCGATCCGACGTACCTCTCTTGAGTCCGCTTAAGATGACTGGCACTCCCATTAGGCATTCTTGTTCTAGTATTTCTTACAAATTCTTTTCTATTTTATTGCATAATTGATGGCTCAGTACTGCTTATTGACCTCATATTAACCACTGTAATGATACTCTTTTTGTTTCCCTTATTCCTAGTGTGTTTGGGATGGGACCGTCAGTGCTTTTCCCAGCACTGTCATCTTCAGTCTTTAGGACTAACCTTAAGAGGCAGCAGAGGGAGCTATATCAAAAGGTGTTTGTCCCTTGCGATCTGTATTACTGACTTAGCAGAACTGCTTGTTGGTTGGCTTCTCGCTGCTGACGAATGTTGGGCCGCTGTGAGCTGTCACAGTAGTCTGTTTGGTTTCCATAGGTTCCTTTTGACCTATCTGCCCTGTAAAGTTTTGGGTACAACACTGAAGTATTTACATCTTACAGAAAGTTTTTTTTTTTTTAAAAAAACTAAATATCTGAAAAAAATTTTAACGGAAATGTGGCAAGATCCAAACCTTAACAACCAGATAAAAGGTATGTGAGATCCCCCACATAGTACATCTTCTACTCGCTGTTACTGCAGGGAGTCGGGTGTTCACACCTTTCTTATCCCTGTCCCCAGATGGCTTAGGTCCAAAGTTATTTGTTTCTTCACTCTCGTATCTTACTTACCACTGTTTTTTTCTATTTAAAGAATGAGAGAGTGAAGGGAGAATTTCCCTCATACGGCCCATTCCCCCTGGAAACTTAACTGGTTCACTAACTGGATTTTCAGTACAGTGTCCCCCTGAAACACATAGCTCATCAGGAATAAGGCCATAAAGAGGGAGCAGGAACCTGCGGTTACTCACCTCGTTTTTCCTCTAGGGACAGTTTCCCCTTAGATTTCACACAGGCAAAGTAGAGCATTCTCAATTTAAGAATTCCTTGGTTAATAAACGGAAAGGTCCTGCTTTCTTCAATTGTGCACTTTAGGTCCCAGATCTTAACATCTAAGTTGTGCAAATAACTGTGTCACTAGTTCTCATCCTGCAGAGGACCCTTTGGCACGTGCGTAGGAGCTTACTGTGCATACGCTGCTTAACAGCCTGGAAGCTGTGACCGCCGGCTGCGCTGCTCCCATGGAGATGTATGATCCAAACTGGAGTATTTCCAGGAATAGATTCGGAACTTATCTTTAAGGCAGCTGAAGGGACAGCACCGGTAGGGCCAGATGTCAGGCAGCAGGTTTTTGGTAATTTCCAGAAGCTGTGGGACAGCACAATGAGCTGTGGCCTTGTTGACTATTGTCATTAGTACCACTGCATGCTTTGCGTTTGTAAAGTTCTGGCTGTTACACTCAGAACCTAAGACCATTTTTTATGGCGCTGATTTTGTTTTTTCTTCTCTGCCTGAACAGAACTTGGGAAACTGTGAAGCGTACAACCAGGAAAGGACAGTCGGCTGACGGTATGAGTGCAAACCTCCTAACTTCCTAAGGGAAGTTCCCACACACTGCTGCGGTCTGCTAGGTGCAGGATTTTACTGTAACCGGCACCTCAGAGAAGTTACCTTCAGTTGTGATCTTTTATCTTCAAATCTAGGATTCGTTTTTGCAATGCTATGTAACTAAATCAAGCCTTCTTTATAAATAACTTCGGCTCCTGTTATCTAAGCTCTCAACCGTGTTTTTGAGGGGAAGATGTATTCATAGCCACACATGAATGGGTATAATTTGAAGCCACATACTGTATCTAGATATGTTAAGACTTGTAGAAATCCTTTGTATTCTGTTCAAAGGACCTAGGTGAGAGCCTGTAGTTTGGAAGACTTATTTGCACTCCTGTATGCTCTCAATCACTTGCTTTTATACGTTGATGAGGGAATGGAATCAGAACAACTATTCATTCAGTTCACTTTTCTTCCAGGCATGAATGCTTGGACTGCAAAGGTCCCAGAAACAATCTTGAAACTCACCTCTGGTCTCGGGGAAGTTGGGCAATAGGTCTTTCTTGTTTTCCCTTTTTTTTTTTTTTTTCCCCCCTTCTGTCTTTGACTGGAAGCAGAGTAGCTGCCACAGCTGTTTTTCCCTGCTAGCAAGGGGGTGGGGGCAAGTGCTCCTCTGGGTGGTTTACTTTTTCTAGAACCCACTGGGGTTTTTGTTTTAAGGCCAAGTAAGTTGGAACTTATGTGATTTATAAAGAACGTAAGTCCTTTAATGACATTATAAGTGAGAATGACTTCCAAATTAACTACTAATACTGTAGCTTTTAACTTCCTGTTGCAATGGCAAACATAAGGTAGATTTCGGATGCAGTGTTTCTTAAAATACGGGGTTTTAGTTGGGTGGCTGTAAACAGATTGCTGGCATGACTCACCTTTCATTAGACGTCTCCATCTTATTTCCTGGCGACAGGTGTGACAGTTATCCCAGTGCTGCAGAGAACTCTGCATTATGAATGTATCGTTCTGGTGAAACAGTTCCGACCACCCATGGGAGGCTACTGCCTGGAATTCCCTGCGGGTAAGTCGTGACACACAGGGAGCAGAACTGCTTCCTGGGATTTGCTGGGCTGGGCCAGGGCAGAGCCTGAGAACCGCAGGACGTAGACATTTGACACCTTTTTATCTAGCCGTTGGCTTTTAAGTTCAAAAAACACATTTCTGCAGTGCGGCACCTCCAGCCACACTAGTGATAGTCGCCCACGGAGGCGATGCAAAGCGTGGGGTCACAACTCGCTTTTCCAAGCCACCTGCCCTCCTCTTTGCGACATCCTTTCCAACCTCTTATTTCATCTTCTATCACTAGCGATCTGCCTCTGACAAATTTACACTAATAACTAGGCCAGACTCTTAACTCCAAACACTATGAATGGAAAAGATCTCTTGACCCTCCCGTATGTATACAGGCCAAGGAAATTCTTAATTTCCACCAGAATATTTTTTCAGTTGCACAGTAAGTTAAACTACCTAGAATTTATGTAATATATTATTATAGGACTTAATCGAGTTGTTCCCATCAGAAGAGATTGGATCCCATTTATCATTAAGGATTTAAGTTTTGTATTTTTAAAGTCCGTCCCATGGTAACATAATTAACAACTTTCTCATTACTTGCCATTTCACCGAATTGAGAATTTTAACTGAATAGCCTATATCTCTCACTTTTTCCTTTCAGGAAAAAGACTCAGAGCTGCTAGTGTCCTCCTCCCACTTGGACTCTGTACCTACTCCTCACAGTGATCATGGGAGTCGCCTAAAGTCCCCCAGCCTTCATTTCTGTCCTCTCTGTTCTTCTGCCTCAGATGTGATCTTCATCCTGGGCCTTAATATTGTTCAGAGAGAGGAAGGCAAGATAGGTGACGCTGGCCCCATCTTA